CGCGCGCCGCGCTCCCGCTCCCCACGGCTCGCACACGGGAGCCTCTCGCCCCCTCGCTTTGCTGGGTGCCTCCGGAAACACACAGATGCTGGAAAAATGACATGTTTAGCCTCTTTTTAGAAATCTGTGCAAAGTGAAATAAAGAATTAAACAGAGTTGAGCCCTATGCATTTAGCTGCTGCTTATAGCGATATTTTCTTCATGTAGAATGTTTTGCATGCCAAGAAAAACAGTTTTGCATTTTAGAGAAAGAAAGTGGTTGTACATCTATGCATCTGTACATGTGCCTGTTAATTCTGCCTGAACGGCTTCCTGGGGCTGTCAGCTCAGAAGTTCTCTTTAACGTAACAAATCTTGACGGTGTTTGCAACAAATCCTCAACTGAGAGGGGTTTATTTAATGAAGCAGGAAATGCTGCCAAATTTCCAGGCTTGATCCCGATCCCATTAATGTCAGCAGGAGAATTCCCACCATGTTTGGTTTGTTGGTTGAGTCTAATCTGGGTAAGGGAGATAAAAATCTGCGTTCAGGCCGGATTTGCAGACAAGCTCATTGTTCCACTTCGCCGTGTCAGAGTGGCTGCAGGAAAAGCAGACAGTACAGGTGGGATTCCTCTCACCTGATTCTAGGCATTTTCAAGTCTGCCAATAGATAACCAAGGGAGAGAAAGAGCAACATTCAGCTCATCATAAGCCAGGAGCCCAAAAAAGGTGAAATGACTTTCTCCCTGCAGAGCCATCTCACCCCATGAGGATGTGCAGTTCGTTGGGAGGAACCTGGCAGTGCTAGAAGGTCTCTGCAGCAGAGGGGAAAGGACCTCGCTCAAAGCCAGCCCCCGAGCAGGTGGGTGCCGACCCAGGCGCTGCCGCAGCCCGCTCAGCTCTTCTTCCTGCGCTCGTGCCAGCCAGGAGCCGAGGCTGACGCCTGGTTCAGGACTCTGGTGGGCACTGAGCCCCTCCTGTCCACAGCAACGGCTGGCAGAGCCACTGGGAGAAAGGGAAGGAGGAATGCGGCACCTCCCCGCCTCCCCCGTCCCCTCACCCACTGCCAAAACACGCGCTACGTCCTCGCCTCCCCACGCCATGAGTGGGGACCGGCACAGAGTAAGAGCTGCCCATGCTGGTTGCTCCAGGGACAATCCCACCCCTCTGTTCCTGGGGGATAAAGAGCACTGGGGAGGTTTTGAGGGGTCAGCGGTGCCCACATGTTTTGAGTGGGTCCCCAGGGGTGACCATGCACCTGCAGTGTCCCACAGAGAGCAGCAACTGCTCTTTGCAAGGGAAGGAGCCTCCCTTGGTGGGGAGGGCTGGGGAGGGAGGGCTGCTTTGCTGCTCCATCACCAGCTGCGAAAGCTGGCCACACAGGCTCGTGTGCCAGCAGTTCCCCCTTAATTACACATACAGCTATTAAAGGGAAGGAGCTCATCCCTTTGATTTACAGGGGGAAGCAGCATTGTCTGAGAATCAAGGGGACTGCAAAGCATGAGATATACCAAAAAAAACCCCCACAAACCAAACCCACCACCAACCAACCCCATATCTCAGGGCCATCAGCCCAACATACAGATCCTTAATGGCTTTTGCTGATTTGACAGGTGCAGGACACAGAAAAATGAGCAGATTTATGGCTGCAACTGTCCCTGGGGCTCCGAGAGGCTTCTTGGGATACAGATCTTTAAATCATCATTAACAATGACATGAGGGGGCACTGGAGAAGACAAAGTTGGGCACAGCGGTGCAAGGGGTGAGAGTAGAGTTTGCTGGCACTTCTATGCGGCTCTCCCTCCCTGGGGATGCAGTGATGCTTGATTTCAATCAATCATGCACAGAGTGGGTGCAGTAACAGGGTGCTGCAGCTCCTGCGGGCTGTGGGGAGCCGAACCTGGTTCTGTGGGGAGCTGAACATCTTGGATGGGATCCATGTGGGAAGATGGAAGAGCTGGACAGCTTTTAGAGGCGTGGGTATTTTTTTCAGAAAAGAAGGAGAATAGTTCAGAGCTCCGGAGAAGCCCAGATCCGGGGAGCGTGTGCAAGCAGCAGAGGCAGACCTGCTCCAAATGTCCCAAAGATTGACCCTACTGCAGAGATAGCAGAACATCTCATTTGAAAATCTTAGCTTCGTTTTTTGATTTCTTCTGGATGAGGTGGGAGCTGAAAGTTTCAGAGCTGCCCCTGCCAGGTGCTGAGCAGATTTTGGGGACCTACCTTGGTGTATGCCTGGCCCAGCACTGCTCTCCACCGGCTGCCTGCAGTCTTGCTGCACAGGCAGGCAGCACTCCCAGCAGCTCCCCGTCTGCAGAGCCCTGGGAAACTCGTCACTGCTCCCTGCAGCAGGCGGGCCCCTGCTCCAGCCCGCAGGCCAGCTGGCTCCTGTGTTCCTATAAAGCTTTAAAAGAAGCCAGACGAGTCACGACTGAAAGCATTAGGTGTTTATTTGTACTTTAGACATTCTAACTCCATCTGAAAGCCAGCCACAGCTCCCTCCATGCAGCAGCAAAGGTGGGTCCGTGCGAGGAGCAGAGCTGACCGTGATAAATATTGGGCTTCAGTCCAAAGAGTGCTGCGTCTGTCGGTGAGCACTTTGCCAGCGTGGGCTGATTTTAACTCACAGGTCACTTCCTTCAGCTGAGCTGCAAGATCCACTGTTGCAAATCACGTTGCTCCCTTCACAAGGACCAAAGCGTTGAAGCAGTCCATGGTGGGGAACACCAAAAGCAAAAAGCAAAATGCCACTTGGGAGCTTCTGCTCCCCGCAAAGCAGAGATCCCCATGGCCTCCCCCGGCAACAACACACGGACTGCCCTCGCCATTGAATCTTGCCTTCACAAGCCTTCAAACCAGCATTGCCTCTCTCTCTTTTGTTTTTTTCATGTCTAGTTTTTACTAGCCACATCTAATCCCTTCGCAAGGCTGGATGCAAGAGCTGGATGCAAGATGCAGCCACCCACCTGAAGATTTCAAACCTCTCCTGGGATTTGTCTGCTGAAAGCAGTGGTTGCAAAAAAACCAAACCCAACCAACAGCCTCCAGAAACTTTAAAATGCCAATTTGCTGTCTGCTATATGCTCTTTCAAAAAGAAGTGAGTAATGCTAAAATACTTTTTTCTTCTGTGAAGGAGGTGGGCAGTAGAGGATAATGCAGATCCTGAAGCAGCTCAGTCACCCAGGAACAACTAACCAGGAACTGGCACAGCTTAGTCATATATTTAAAACCTGATATTTTTATGAATCTTTCCATTTCCAAAGCACTTCCCCCTGCAAAAATTCACCCTCTCAGCTGTCATGCAATGCAGGGAGTTATTTATTGGTACCCTCTCCTTGGGTGAAGGAGGGAATTCTGTCTCAAGCCCATGTCCATTGGGGGTGAGAGGAGACAGTGGGGGGGCAAGGCATCGTTCACCCCCATCCATCACTCACTGAGGAGCTCAATGATGGCCGGGGAGATGCTGACCACCTCTGAGCTCCACTGGAGGCTGGACTGAGAAATACTTCAGGACTGGAGTAAACGCAACATTTCTCTCTTTCCATCTCCAGGTGTACTACAAGCAAAATGGTTGGGTTGAGTAGCTTTGCTCTAAAACCTCGTCCCAGTTTGATCTCTGATGCCGGCAGTCCTGTCTGTCCCTTGTGTGAGATTGGAGCCAGCAATGCTGCTGTCACCGTCTCTCTGCAAAAGAGGCATAGAGGTGGGGGGCTGCTCCTGAGAAGGGGCCAAGCACTAAGTGAAGTGGTGCATCCTTTGGAGGGGGTGTTGGGTACCTCAGAGCTCATCAGAAGCCTCCTCCTCACAAAGAATGATGTTGCTCATCTTCTCATCTGTCTGGTGAGAGGTTTTCATCTTGAAGGTGGATCCCAGGGACTGGCTGGCTCTTTGGTGGATGGTCCTCATATGTTCCATGCAGTCTTCGCTGGTCATCACGTAGAGCAGGGGGTTGAGAACACTGTTGAAGCTGGCCAGGCCCCGGGTCACCTGGTAGGAAACATAGATGTTCTTTAAAGCCTGTGTGCAGGACCCTTGCAGCTGCCAGCCTCGAGACAACAAGTTGAGGTTTCTGAAGATGTGGTAGGGGAGAAAGCAGATGGAGAAGACGACCATCACAAGAATCACCAGTCTGATGCTTCTTCTTCTGATGCTGAGGTCCATGGTGTTGTTCCTGCAGAGCACCACCACCACATGACAGTAGCATCCAATGATGATGAGGAATGGGACAACGAACCCAGTCATGGTAATGGCCATGGTGTATGGCAAGTAAATGCCTAGGTTCTTGTACCCTGTTGTGTCATGACACCGCATTCCTGTGTCATCCATCTTGCTGAAGGCAAAATTGGGAGCTACCTGCGTGATGACCCACAGCCAGACAATCGCGCTGAGCCACACCGAAGATGTTGCCCCCTGGCACCTGCCCCGCATCTTCATCGGGTGCACGATGCCCAGGTAGCGGTGGATGCTGATGCAGGTGAGGAAGCCGATGCTGGCGTAGAGGTTGAGGTGGAAGAGGCCCCGGGTGATCTGGCACCAGCCCTGCCCGAAGAGCCATACTCTGCCCCGCAGGTAGTAGCTGATGAGGAAGGGCAGCGTGCTGATGTACAGCAGGTCGGCCAGGCTCAGGTTGCCCACCAGCAGGCCGAGGGGACGGCGGGCGCCCTGCCGGTGCCTGGCACAGAGGTGCCAGAGGCCCAGCCCATTCCCCACCAGCCCCAGGGGGATCACCACCAGGTAGATGGTGGGCAAGAAGCGTTGGGCGAAGGTGGTGTCCACGGGGCACAGGGCTCCGCTGCCATTGCTGCGCCACAGGGTGAGATTCTCCGTGGCCATCAGGCG